GCCACATGAAAACTGCTAATGAAAAATGGTGCCTGCCAGATTAGCCAACAAAGGATGTTGCAGCCATCAAGCCACGGCAGTCACCCTCAAGGGTACGCCCAAGATGGGACTTTCAGGACACTGGCCCTAGATACTTAAGGTACAGATCAAAGGAATGATTTCAGTGAGCCCAGGCTCTTCCATCTTCCCACAAATAGAAAAGCACTAAATTCCTTAACCTGAGACATCTGGTTTTCTTTAATGAACAGTAATCTTTTGATGTTCCGACTACCTGGTCTTTGTTGCAAAAACTCCTATATATCCTGGCTCCTCCCCTGCCTCCTCTGAATCGTCCCTTAGAGTGAACTGAGACTCTGTCTCCCCAGCCTGAAGTCCTCAGAAAATCCACCGAATAAAACATAATTCTCAACCGTTAGGTTGTGCATTTTTTTCAGTCAAGATAAAGGTGGACATCGGGGTGGCGTTGGGGCAGCCACAAGCCAAAGAACTCCTAGAGCCACCAGAAGCCAGCAGAAGTGAGGAAGGATTCTCCCCAGAGCTTCTGGAAGGAGCATGGTCCTGCCAACACTTGGAGGTGGAGCTTCTGATCCAGAACTGGGAGAGAATAAACTTCTTTTGTTTTAAGCCACAGTGGTTTTCTGGCAGGCACAGGAAACTAATTCGATTAATGGTATTGTTCCCTGCCATTGGCGCTCTGTGTGTTCATGTCCAAAGGCTGCCTCTTTGGTTCTTTTTGTGCGCTCACTTTGGGCATTTTTTTTGGGAGACATCCCCCCACCTTGTTCAGGGCCCCTCCTCACCCGTTCTCTCGTTCAGATGACACACCGTCTGGTTGACCAACAGCTCCTGCACTTGGTGGCATGTCCCACCCAGCCTTTTTTGTGTTGGGTCAGCTCACCTGCAGATGGGCCCCTTGGGTGAGGGCCTTCCAAACAACCTAAGCCCAGCTACTGGCTGGGCACGCACTCAGCCCCTGGGAGAGCGCCAGCGGCAGAGGTCGCCCCCTCTGCAGCCGCGCTCCTCATGGTCACGGGCAGTCTTCGGCAGGCCCAGCTGGCTTCTCACCCGTTTAGTCTTTCAGGCGAGTCAAGCACCATTTCTTGTGGCCTTTCAATTCAATGCAGGAGCACCCGTCAATCTCTCTGAGAGGTTCTCTCCAGGTCCCCCTCCACTTGCCCGGAAGGCAGGAGGAAGCTTCCAGAATTCTAACAGCCCTCTTCCACTCTGGTGCTGAAACTGCCTTCTTACTCATTCCTCTGTGTGAAGTCACCGGAAGCAGCTGTTAAAAAAGAGCAGTTACTCCTTAGGAAAGGTTACACTTGCAGCCCGTTATTCCTCACGCCTGAGTTTTCTTCTAAGGGCCGTTTCCCTTCACTAGTCAGAGATCAGCAGAATGGGACAAGGGACAAGTAAGTGTTGAGAGGGGGGAACTGGGAAAGAGAGAGAGGTCTGCGAGATTGGATTGGAAGAGAGGAGGAGAGAGGAGGAGATCTCAGGGGTGACTGATCGGAAGGTTCTGGGTACCCAGAAAGAAGCGGGTTCACAAGACACTGGGCAGGGGAGGAATAGCGGAAAGACAGAACAGGAGATGCTGAAGACAGCCCTTTCTGCTGTTCACCTGCCGGCAGCAGCACACGTGCACAAGGCTGCCACATGGGGGCGCTGTTACAACTCTGAGAGAGGATCTAAAAAACGCACAATGCAGGGGAAAGTGTCTACTATTCCTCCGCAGAGCTGTGACTGTGGCTGGGACTCAGAAGGAAAAAGATTTTAAAAGGACAGTGACAGAGACAGGAAAGGGGGATGCAGAAACTTTGATCACTGTCCAGAGAGATGAATAGATGTGGTGAAGGCGAGGCTTCCAGGCTCCTGAGCAGCTGGGATGTTTCCCTAGGCCTCAGTCCCTGGGCCTGTTGACCCACCCCTCAAGACTCCAATGCCATCGGCTTCTAGCAACAGGCAGATGTCTCTGGTCCCCTTAATATCCTGGATGGCAGGCCAGGGGACATCCCCAAGGTAAGACTTACTTGTGGCTAGATTATCCATGAGTCTGTGTAACTTCAGTCACAACCTGCCTGGCTGGTATTTGGGAGACGAATTCACTCTAGGTGTCCCAAGTCAACCGGGATAAAGTCACATAGCTGTGGTTCATCTTAAAGTGGGGGGAGGGTAGGATACTTTTATTTTTAAAATAAATGTTTATTGCAATATAACACAAATGTAGAAAAGCCAGTGCACAAATCGTAAGTGCACTGCTTAGTGAGAATACTACCTGGACTGTTGTAAATGTATGAGGTGCCAACACTGCTGCCCAGTCTTTCTCAGTGTCGGCCCCTCATCTAATCTAACTGATCCCTGAAAGGTAAAGAGTCTGATTCTCCATGGGTCTCGTGTCTTTACATCCATCTTCTGCACAAAGGCATTGGCAGGTTTGCCCTGTACCATCTTATCAAGGATGCTGGCAGAGGACACAGCCTGGGAGAACAGAGACAGTGTCTTCCTTGTCAAGAACAGATTTTTCTCCTGCCCAAAATAAAAATACTGTCTCCTTCCGGGGCAAGGTTGGGGCAGGGTTGTGACTGGTACCCCTATAAGATGGGGGGTTTCCTAAATTCAGGGTTCCTCAACTGTGGCACAAACTTGCTGTGTACCCCGCATCCTCCTGGACCCGCCTCTGCACTGCCCCACCCTCTGTGAGACTTGGGGTGGGGCGCAAGGGGTAATGGTGTGACCGTGAGGTCCAGGCTACCTGCTGTCCCATGAGTAATCAAGTCCATCTCTGTCCCAGGAGTCTCGTGTTTTCTACCGATATCCATGAACTTGTGACAGGCCAACTTGTTAGCTTGCAAGGAGGGTAACAGTTCTTGACAGCTGCAAGCATGTTCGGGTCAAAGTACCCCATAGTCACCCCACAAGTATTCTGTGCCTGCAAGAGAAGAAGACAAGAACAAAAAACACAGGCTACCTCGGGCCAGGCTGGAGGTGAGCACAGTCTCAGGGAGGCATCAATCCCCCGAGCAGAAGGGGTCATACAGCAGCCCGCTTCCTTGTGGCAGATATGGTCTTAAAATCTTCAATTCAGTGCTTTGGGCAGCTGCCGACATTCAGCCTCAGAGAGGAGGCCAAAATGGGGGCCGACGTCATTGTTATTTCAACATATTAATACAGGTCCAGGAGGCTGCAGGATGTGGCCCATCCCGGGGAAGGCAGTCTAGTCCAGACAGGCAAATAGGCAGCACCATTCAGTGCTAGGTCACTTGGGCAGCACTCAAGGTCTGCAGGAGGTTGAAGATCTCGGTTTTGTTGAAGGCTCAGTCTGCACAGTGTGTCGTCTTCTCTAACAGTGCTTAGCAGCCTGGAGACAGGATGGAGAAAAGAAGGCAGTTGGCTTGATCCAGACTGGGGCTCTGCCTGGTGGTTCTGGAGGAAGGACGCAAGAGCGTGAGCTTTGTGGGGCACAGGCAAGAGCATCTTTAAAGGGATGAGGGATCTTGGAGTCTAGGTTATGTTTTATTTGAGGGCAGAGTCAAGCCAGGAGGAAGCCAAGAGAGGGGGAGAAAATAAAGGTGTCAAGGGAATGGGGGTTTCAAAAAGGCCAAGGGATAAGCGTGGGGGAGATTAAGAAGAGAAAGCTAATCAACCAGAGTTTGATGGTGGAGTTCAAGAATTCAGAGGTGATGATCAAGTCCAAGGGGTGGCCCTGGTGCAGAGACTGAGGAGGAGATGATGGTTACTGGAATAGAGGAGGTCAAAGAATTGTGAGGGCAGGTTCTGGATGGGTCATTTGCCTAGAAGTCACCACAGTGGTTGATGACAATGGCTAGAAGAGATGGAGGGCCATAGAGCTATTTAACTGCACCTTCAAGGAACGGTGGCTTTTACGTGGAAACAGAGAAATAAGAGATGGTGAACAAGAGTTGAATGACAAGGATGCTGCCCTAGACTCCAGCCCCTAAAATGAGAGCAGTGGGGGAGGATGAGCAGCTTCCTTCAATATGGCTGCAGAGAGAGCCCCGGGAGAGCACTCAGTTCAGCCAAGGTTGGGAGACTAGGAAGATATCTTTGACCCGGATTACAATGGAGGAGAGTTTGTTTCCCAGACAACGGAGTATGTGTGATGGAGGCAGGGGCAGAAGCAGTGGGAGTTAGTATCCAAAGGAGGGAGCCCATAATAGTGAGGGGATGAGAGAGTGGGAAAGGATGGATGACGAGGGGTTTCCATCTTGGGTGGTGACTAGGGACAACAGATGTGGAGTCATGACTGAGTTATCTGACCTTACGTTGTCCAAAGGAACCCAAGTATGATTCAGCGCTACTGCAGGCTAGAGGTCCGTGACGCTATAGGCTGTTGACTGGAATTCAAAACAGTATGTTGGTATTTAAGGTCCAAGAAGTTAGTCCCCAAGACTGTGGTCTTGTAGTGGAAATGGCAGGGCAGTCCCCAGGGGCTAAGACTGTTCCCCTGACTTTGGATTGTACTTTGTTTGAAATCCTAGATAGGCCAAGAGAGAGTTTGTTTTTATCTCACTTAATAAAATATCAAGCAGTGACCAGCCTGGGACAGTGGTAGAGATGCCATCATGTCATCGGGGACCCAGGCTTCCTCCAGCTACGTAGTCCTCCTTGGGTGTGGTCCTGGCTCTCACGGTCACAAGGCAGCTCCTAGAGCGCCTGCCTTCACAACCACATTGCAGGCAGGCAGAAGGAGGAAGAGAAAGGGCAAAAGGGGCTGCCAACTGAGAGCCTTCTTTAATGAGCCTTCCCAGAAGCCCCACCAATGACTTCAGTGGACTCCCCATCAGAAAGAGAGGTTGGGAAAAACAGTCCTTAAGTTGAGCACATCTTCCCCCAACCTCATATATATATATATATATTTATATATGGTTATACTAGTAAGGAAAAGGGTGAGAATAAATACTGGGCAACTAGAAGTCTCTGCTACAGATACTAGAGAACCATTAAAAATATTATTATTCAGTTCAACTTAACTCAGCTTCATACACTGATTATCTACCCATACGTAACATAATTGCAGGACTTCCTATTCCATTTCTGGTTCAACATCTCTTCCTTTAACCTGGATTACTGGGCACTGCCCTTCACTGCAATTTCTCCCCTCTTATCTTTAATCTAAACTACAGCTATGCTCTCAAATTTCCCTGGTTAGAGGGGAGTCTTCTTTAAGTCTACCGCAATCTTAGAAACCACCTGTGTCAGTTAGCTCTTGCTGTGTAACAAACCATCCCACACTTTAGCACCTTACCACAGCTATTTTATTATCTCTTACAACTCTGTGGATTGATTTGACTAAGCCAGGCAGTTCTTCACGTGGTCTCACTAGACACACAATTTTGGGGGTCTCTATAACTAGCAGTTATCCTAACAGATATACCTACAGTCCTGTGTACACTCTGTATGACAAAAGTACTTCACACTAACAGAAAACAATGTGTTTTTTCCCACCATCTTGAAAGGTTGTATGTGTTGGTTGTATTGAAGAGAACATTGTTGAAGAAAGATTACTTGAAAAAACAAAGATGATGACGACAAAGAAGGATTACTAAGAGTTTTGGTATTTAAAAAAAAAGCCTTAAGAGTAAAAGCTACAAATTTTAAAGATTAGTAAAATTTGGGGGCTAACAGGCAACAATCTGGGGAACCTTCTGTTTGGGAGCTATCTTGAATCTGTTTCTGACCCAGAATCTTAAAACAGAATATGCTTTCATCCTCAGGGAACACACTCAGGATTCGTTACCACACAAATCAGTTCTTGAATTTGGAAGAAAAGAGAAACAGAGAAGGCATCAGTCTCTTTTGGAATCCTGCTACTTGCATAATTAGGTTTTAGGGATTTCTCTGAGGCCTTGAGTTCAACAACTTAAGCTGTTTGCATTGCAGTTATGACGCCTAATAAAGCAGTCATGTGATCCCATAATAGCAAGTAATTTTAAGAATTTTTAAAAATATATAAGTATTTCCAAAGAGAAAAGAATAAACACATATTCTAGCAAAGCAAATAATCATACACATAATTAAACACAGAATCAACAACACATTTACTTACTTAGAAAAACTTAAACCATGACAAAAGGTGAGTATTTGGATATTATTATTATAAAGAATTTAAATATACAAGCTTGGCTGTAAAAGATCAGGCTAAGCCACGTAGGTAAAAGTCTATCTGTGATGTCACAGTTTCCAAGAAATGCCATAAAAGTAAGACAGGTGAACATTTTTCTGTGCCTTTTTTTTTCCTTTTTGGTAATTCTAGAAACATTGTAAAAGAGATTCATCAAGTCATGCAGACAAATCAAACATACTGTGAGGAGGAGCTCAGCTGACAACTCCACATTTTATAAATTCAGAGATGAGTGAGAAGACACAGTGGTACTATATTTAAAGCAAATATTGGCATATCTCACACAAGAAAAGCATCTTACAATAATGATTCTGTTGGTGCATTACAATTTTTCACTTTGTATTTCTAAAATGGGAGAGGTCTATGATGTAATGTCAAAAAACAGAGAACTGACATAGAAAGCCAAACATAACGATGTAAAAGGCAACAATAACATTCAGCCATCCACAGATAAAAGGCCACCTGGACATAAGCCTGAAACCAGCAAGACGCCGTCCACTGCAATTTCTCCGGTTTTGCCCTTGCCACGTTCTGCTTCAAAAATGATCTAATAATGGAGAGGGAATAAAAAATTACTTCAAAATATTTAAAGCAATAATATACTCGCACTAGTTAATAGCTATTACACTGGACTAAACTATGTCCCTCTTGCATAGAAACAGGTTTTGACATTGAAAAAAAAATCTATATATATAATATTTTCCAGATGCCATGTATCTACACTGAGTGAATTACATTCAGAGAAAACAGGGTCACTGCAACACCTTAAAGAATCTGGATGGGGAGGGATAAATTGGGAGTTTGGGATTTGCAGATACAAACTCCTATATATCAAGAAATAAACAACAAGGTCCTACTGTATAGCATAGGAAACCATATTCAATAGCTTGTAACAGCTTATAATATAAAAGAATATGAAAAGGAATATACACATGTATAACTGAATCACTATGCTGTACACTGGAAATTAACACAACACTGTAGATTAACTATACTTCAATAAAAAATAATTAAAAGAATCTGGAAAACCCTGAAAAGCTGAGAAAAGTAAGGTTTAAGCAGAAATTTTGGAATTTCCATTTAAAGAAAAAAAAAGCAAAACTAAAAGAATAATATGGTTTTCTTTTCAAAAAGCAGGCTAGAAGAAATTTAACATCTCTTGTGAACATCTAATGATCTAATGCAAAACTATATAGTTGAAAGGGAATTACTTTGATATGTTCAGATTTTGGTAGTTTGCAGGAATAAAGTTATTTCTCTTAAAATATTGGTTTAAATATTTGAAATTATCTGCAATGCTACAGTTTTTATGTGTTGAAAACTGTTTCATAATAGGCTATAATCATTTTTATCTAAGATATTTATAAAAAATCAAAAGAGCAGCAAATTTTATGTTTTAGAAATTTCTAATGCATGGCGAACACAGGATCAATACTAAAAAAATGTATCTTCAGATTGGACAGAAAATGACAGAGATAACTCATTTGACAAAATTAAGGATATACAGTGACTATTTTATACTCATTCATTCATTCAAAAATATATCCAAAGAAATTCTTTGTTGGTTTTTTTGTTTGTTTTGTTTGGGGGGGGAAGTAATTAGGTTTCCTTATTTCCGTATTTATTTTAATGGAGGAACTGGGGATTGAACCCAGGACCTTGTGCATGCTAAGCACACACCCTACCACCAAGCTATATCCTCCCCCTAGAAATTGTATTAAAATAAATACTTGCTGAATGAACATTTATGTGTCTTCAATACTGTAATTTTTTTTAAAAAAGTTCATGTTAGTTTTAAAATCAGAAAAAAACACAAAATATTTAAAATTCAATAATTATGAAAATAGTAATAGCTACAATTTATGGAACATCTATTAAATACCACTCACTGTAAGTAGTGAAGACGGTAATACACACAGTGGGTTCTTTAATTTCCTTAATTCTCAGTATCAGAGATAAGCAGATTCAGAGAACAGCAAAAGGATTCTGAGTCAAAGACGATCAACGTCACCCAGGAACAAAAGTTTTAGAAGAGGAATATTTAATTTGGAACATGTTATTCTTTTTTAAAGTGACACAAACACATATTCTATCAACAGCAGGTACATATCGTGGTTGGAAATAAATTAAAATATGTATCCACGTGAAAGGTAAACTGCAAAACATGGAAGCACTCATGTTACTGTGCAATGATCACAAATCTTTACTTTTTCATAAAGTGATTTTCCTTTGTCTTTTCTAAACTTTTTCCAAAAATAAATTCAAACTTAGAGCAAATTGGCATTTTCAAGAAAGCCTTTAAGACTGATGCTCACAACCATGCCATGTCTGTCATGCGTACTTTTTTTTATAAATTGAAGTATAGTAAGTTTACAGTGTTGTGTCAATTTCTGGTAGTGTACAGCATAATGTTTCAGTCATATATACATATATTCCTTTTCATACTCTTTTTCATTATAGGTTACTACAAGATATTGAATATAGCTCCCTGTGCTAAACAGTAGAAACTTGTTGTTTATGTATTTTATATACAGTAGTTAGTATCTGCAAATCTTGAACTCCCAATTTATCCCTTCCCACCCCCCTCACCCCTCTGGTAACCATAAGTTTATTTTCTATGTCTGTGAGTCTGTTTCTGTTTTGTAAATAAGTTTATTTGTGTCCTTTTTTTTTAAGATTCCATATATGAGTGATACCATATGGTATTTTTCTTTCTCTGTCTAAGTTACTTCACTTAGAATGACGATCTCCAGGTCCATCCGTGCTGCTGCAAATGGCATTATTTTGTTCTTTTTTATGGCTGAGTAGTATTCCATTATACACACATACCACAACTTCTTTAGTAGGGTGTATTTTAAACAAGATGTTCTGCTTTGATTCAGGGATGATGAATGAATGAGGAGATGTTTAATCTAGCATCTGAGACGTGGAACCTGGCGTTTTGGTCTGACACCTACTACAGGATTTGACTTTTGTTAACTAACATATTATCTTTCACAAGCAAAGTAGAAACAGAATCCTAGTTCATGGCTCTACTAATTGGTCTTCCTCTTGTCACCATAGCTGGGAACTCAGCTCTTTGTATAGCTCCTTCTAGCTTTCACCCTATCTTTTCCCTTCCCACCTCGACCAAACTTTTCACACGGGCCCAGAGCTCTGATCCTTTCCTTCCTCATGGGTGGCCTTCCCTCTTCCCCTCCAAAGACACAACTTCTGCAAAGGTCAGCTTCCACCTCCTGATGGTCAAACTTAATAGAGACTTTGTCATTTTTATCCTATTTGCTCTTTCTGAGCATTTTATCCCATTGATCAACTTCCTCTTAAAACTCTGTTCCCTTTTCCTTTATTAAGCCCACTGTGCAATAAAGGATGAACTCGGCAGGTCTGGGTTGTCCAAACTCTGCACATTCCAAACAAAGGTTTGGCCCTGGACTGGTTCCTGGGAGATAACCTCTAAGTCCCTGGACTATCCTACCTCTTAAGAGTGTCTTTGGCCACGCCACATAGTTTATGCCAACCATGTGATTTCTGATGGGGATGTTGGGTCACACAGCATCAGCCTGGCCTCTGGAGAAGTTAGAGACTGAGTAACTAGGGTCAGCCACGTGGGCAGTTGTGCAGGAAGATGGACCCCCAACAAAATCCCTGAACATCAAGGCTTGAGTGAGATTCCCTGGTGGGTAGTGCTTTGTGCATGTTGTCCCACGTCATTGCTGAAAGAATTAAGAGCTATCTACGTGACTCACTGGGAGAGGAAAACTGCCAGCTGGTGCCCAGCCTCTCCTCTGCCCTACGCGCCTTTTCCCTCTGCTGATTTTAACCTATATCCTTTCACTGTAACAAACTATAATCATGAACAAACTGCAGCAGTTTTACTGAGTACTCTGAGTCTTTCTAGGGAATCACGGAACCTGAGGGTGGTTTTAGGGACCCCAGACAACAGCCCCTCTCTCCGTTCCGTCCAAAAAACATTTAAAAAATGACCTTCTAGCCTGTATTCATTGTGGTAGGTGCTGGGTACAAAATGAATGGATAAGATATGCTTTTACACATTAAGGAATTTAGAGCCTGGTTCGGAGGGAAGGTGTTGAGAGGAGCCTGACACACAAACAGCTCATGTCCACAGAATGTAACATGCAGGCACCTGACATGCATCATCATTCGTTGTGCTATTAATTGCCTGGCCTACTTTGCTCCAGAATATAAGCTCTTTAAGGGTCGGGAAAAAGTCTTATACATCTTTGTAGCCCTAGTGCCTATGTAGCTCAGTGTTTTGGTTGTTAAATCATGGAAAAAGAATGTCAGCATCTTGTTCAATACTGTTTTCCACTTACGCTTTTGGGAGTATCCATCCCTGGGTCGAGCTGTATTTTCCCCGTCTTCCACCGTTCATCCGCACTCCTGGTCTTCTCCCAGGCCAGGGCACCGTCACTGTTCTTCACAAACACTCGAAGCTTCCCTACTTTGTTTCCAGCCAGCCGGTAATGAAAGAGCAAACAGAAGTTGCTTTGGGGCTGCAGGTCGGGGAGGAGAAGTTTCAAACGGCCAACGTCCTTCTTCTGGCCCACCAGGGCCGGAACTGCCATATAGTAGCCAACAGCTTGAAGAGAAGAAAAAGCCACAGTTAATAAGGCCACTGTAGAGGGAGGGTGTAGCTCAGTGGTAGAGCGCATGCTTAGCATGCACGAGGCTCTGGGTTCAATCCCCAGTACTTTCTCTAAAAATAAATAAATAGGTAAATATAATTACCTCCCCCACAAAAAATTTTTAAAAATAAGGCCATGGTAAAGGGTTTGGCTGTAATGAATAAAATAGCTGCAAAAAATGAATGATAGTCTCCTATAAGGAAAGCTGAAGTCTTTTTCATTTTAAACATTCAGGAACACAATTTTCAAGCTAAAACGAATTTTAGGGATCACAGAACTGAAATTCTTTGTTGTACAGTGAAGGCAACTGAGGAATTTGTCCAAATTCACAAAACTTGGTTATAGCAGATACAGGGTAAAAAATTAATTAAATCGTCTTTTAGTACTGTAGGTAATTTGCAGCTGATGGAGAACTTGTGTTCCAGAACTTTCCACCTTAGTTGTTTGGACCCGGGACTGCATTTCTCCACCGAGTCGATATGCATGACGGGCAGCGCCTCAGGTGGGTCCACAGCGTGGGATTGCATCCACAATGTATGTGGATTTGTACTAATGGTACCACGGAGCTCAACCGCCACGTGTAATGGATCAGTCCAAGTTCTGAGTTAAGATGGCAGGAACACAGGTCACCTTCTGATCCTAAGATCATTCCGCCAAGTATCTTTTAACCAGTGTAGTGGGTATTTGCTCATCTCTAATCTTCTGGTTGTGCCTTTGATGGACTTGGGCAAAAACTCTCATAGACTGGGGTCTGAAGAAGTTGATAGGTAGAAGGAATTCCTCTAGAAACCGGGGTAGGAGAGGGTGGTGGGTGAAATCTTCTGCTAGTCTACATCACAGAGACACTCGTAGGAGCCAAGGTGACACTGCCTTGGTTTTCACTGGGCCCAGAGACTGTTTGGGAGAGTGATTAAGGAGGAGAATATACACTAGATCCAGTCAGTCACTCATCAAGGGAGACTTGGGAAGGTCTAAAAGTTTCCTAGCCTAACAAGTGACAGGAATAATGACCCTCCCATCACTGGAGACCTTTCTTTACCTGGACTGTATCGCAGAACATGAAATAGTGAAATCTAAATACCATTATCTCGATCAGCAGGATTCCAGTCAAAATCATCTTCTATATCCTGTTTCCAGTCACAGACCCCATGGTCAAAGCTGCAGTCAGCTGAGATATTTAAATCTGCTAAGAAAAAGGGTGCATTTCATCATCATTGAGAGCAGTAGGAAAACGTTGAACGTTGGGAGCTTTGGAAGGTGATGCCATGTTTTCAGCTGCTGTCAAGAATTAAGCTGAGCTACTCCACAGTACTGCTGCCTCGGCGCCCGCTTTGTCTGGCCTTTTTGTAAGGCCTCTGGGGGCCTTAAACTGGCACCAGCCGTCATGCAAGTGCACACCCTGGATAAGAGCCTGCAGAGTCACAAGCAAAAGTCAGTCCCTGATGTGACTTCCCCAACAGCCCCTGTGATCAGCAGTCTTCCCTGCTTCCCAGGGCCTTCCCCTCAAGCACTCCTTAGATAAGACCTCCTGGAGCTTACATTTTTGATTATTTTCATTTGAATCGACTAACCCAGCCTTAGCCCAGCAACCCCAAAGCTCTCTACCTCCCTGTGGGGCCCGTGGAGGAGGGCCCTGTAATAAACTTAGTAATAAACTTCTCTATCTCAATTTCTTTTCTGGTCTTTTATTGAACCATCAGGCCCTCAGACGCTCTACTTAACTTGCATAACCAGTACTTTGTAAAATTTGTTTATGCTTCAATTGTGCATACTGTTTTTTAAAAGAAATATATAGTATTTTTATTTAAGTACCTCCAAACTTGAATTCATCATCTGCGTGAAGCATTGTAAAATAATACATTTCTCTTTTGAGTATCATTACAGTTGTACAAAGGGTTTCACTGGTTCTATTTTTCTACTGTTACCGATAAGCATGCAACACTGACTTTACCCCACATATAGTCGGTGTTTCAAATAATGGCTTAAATAGAAAAAAAAAAGTTTGTTAAATGTTATTTTAGCAAAATTGCAGCAACTGCATGGAGTACAGGGCCAGCTAGTACAAGCTTTGAACTGGCCTCTGGTTACTTTTATGGAGATCGGAGGTCAGCAAACTAACGCCCCACCCCATTGCTTGCTCTTGTGTTTTACTGAAACACACCACGCCCATTCCTTTATGTATTGTCTACAGCTACTTTTGAGCTACAGTGACAGAACTGAGCAGATGCAACAGAGATGGTATGATTCAGAAAGCCTGAAATATTTACTATCTGGCCCTTTACAGAGAAGTCTTGTTGACCTCTGATGTAGGTGAGACAGGAGGAAAGGGGGCACGGCACAACCATTAAAAGAATGACGTAGCAGTTGAGGATGCCACATAAACTGGTTAGAACCAAGATGGCAGAAGATCTGACTTCTGGTAGACTTTGAGCTTCATTATATATTCGTTGTAATATATTAACATGCTAAATGACACTCCCACAGGTGCCATGACAGTTCCCAGGCTGACCATAAAAGGTCAACAAGTGGGCGGGGCCCATTCCTAAGACGTTGCCGGAGAATGTAGGTTCTTGCCTCTCACAGAAAAGAATTCAAGAGCGAAGCTTAGTAAAGTGAAAACAAGTTTGTTTAGAGCGATACACACCCCATAGACAGAGTGCGGTTCGTCTCATTCAGAAGAGAGAGCGGCTTAGGAGATACGTGCTCCCTAAGCAGAGTGCAGGCCACCTCAAGAGGCAAGGGGGAGAGAGGACGAGACGTGGGGGGTGTTTAAAGTACAAGTAGATACACACTCCATAGAATGCCAGCCGTCTCAGAGGGCAAGAGAGGGCACAACCAATGAGGCGTGGGGTTGTCAGTTTTTGTGGGCTTGGTAATTTTATATGCTAATGAGGGGAGGATTATTCCAACTATTTTGGGGAAGGGGTGGGGATTTCCAGGAATTGAGCAGCTGCCCAGTTTTTGACCTTTTATGGTCATATGCTCATAAGGCAAAATTGTAAACTCTCTCTGTTTCATTAAAGATTATGGAAGAAAAAGTAAAATAAGAAAACTGGCTGGCTTGGGGATCCAAAGGGAACTCAAATGATTTATTAGCACTTAGCTAGTGTAAAGCAGAGCTGGGGCAGAAGTTCTGAGCACCTGGAGAACATAGCTTATCCCCTGAGCATTTTCTTCCTAACCAGGAAAATGGGCAATAAGATGTCTGATGTAGAGAAATTAAACAAATGGAACACTCAGGAGAAAGATGGAAGAGAGCAAGATGCCATAGGAGCTGGGTCACTAGCCTTTGGAGAGTTTTTAGTAGAAGTTTCTCACAAGGCCCGGCTTGGCCGGCCTGCTGGAAGATGGGAGACCACATGGAACAGAGCCGAGTCAGCCCAGGTGTCCCATGAGGCCCCAGGCACGTGAGAGAGCACAGCTGAGATGAGCCGGCCCACAGCTGATGCAGACACATGGGAGAGCCCCACCCAGACCAGCTCGGATCAGCAGGACTGTCCAGCCAACCCACAGACTCATACACAAAACTGAGTTTCTATTGCTGTAGGCCACCTAGAGTTGTGGCTGTCTGTTCTGAAGTGTTTCCATGGCAACAGGTAACTGACACAGGCAGTTCGGGCAAGATTTTCGTACATGGTGAGTTTCAGGCTGTGGGCTCTCACATGTTGGAGTGGAAGCTAATGAGTCGTTCTCTCATGTATCATCTGCCTCACCTCTTTAGGTGTCAGGTGGAGGTGGAGAGAAGACGGGCTTACAACACTAATCATTGGTACTAATCACATAAGGACCTAATATTTTCATACTGACACCAGGTATCATGATGTAATGATTTCCCCTTGGGTGTTCAGGAATGAAGCAATGATTCATGAACAACCATCTCAACCCACAAAGAAATGAAAACAACACGGGACACCGCGACAGAGCACGCACTGGGGAGAAGGCATCACTCACCTCTGTGCTCCAGGCTGGATGTTGTAGCTTTTCTTTGGACCAGAACCAAATCAACTTGACCTTCTTCATTCACCTTAGGGGCTAACAATGAACATTTGATCAGTTAAGAAATACCCTAAGAAGGGATGAATGAATGACTGAACCAAGAGGGTTTTATTATATACAGTTGGCCCTCCATATCTGTGGGTTCCATAACCACAGATTCAACCAACCACAGGTCAAAAGATACATATATAAAAAAAAATCCAGAAAGTTCCAATGAGCAAAACTAGACTTTGCCTCGCATGCCAGGCAACTACTTACATCACACTTACATTGTATTAGGTATTTTAAGTAATCTAGAGCTTATAAACTACGTGGGAGGATGTGTGCAGGTTATACGCGAATGCTACACCATTCTATATAAGGGACTTGAGCATCCACTGATTTTGGTATCTGTGGGGGTTCCTGGAACCAGTCCCCTGTGGATGTCAAGGGACGACTGTATTCTACTTACAGAATGTGTTACAGCTGTGGTTCCCTAATGTTAGTTTCAGTTTCCTCATCTAGAACCTTTTTCCCAAAGGTGCCCTTAGTTGACCTAAGTATCACGTAAGTATCCTAAGTAACATGTCCTTTCTCATCAGGTTTTGGGAACATACTCTCTTGAGACTGTGACTCTGTGTTAAGGGAGATAATGAATATGGTATGCAAAGTTCTTGGACGGGTGGACCTGCATCCACTTCTCATTTGGTGAAATCCAATGGCCATGGAGCAAGAACAGGTTACAAGGCAAAATACAGAGGGAGCACCAGATGCCTGATGAGAATGAGATGGAAAGTCTCAGTGTGGGGGATCCAAGGTGGGTTAAGATGGAAACCATCCTCGAGGGGCTGAAGCTTATGGTGGGTTCTGCCCAGCCACCAGTGAAAAGGGCAGGTACCCAGCTCATGCAGAAAACTTTAAGCTTCAGCTCTACAGAGAATTTTCCTCTCTACAACTATCCACTTTGGCTTTTTAAATCATAACGTCCAACTCTGAAACTCTCCTTTCATGAAGTGGGCTTGTAAAAACTGCCTTCAAAAAATAAAAAGGTAGAGTTTGGCAGGCCCAGCTGGGGAGGCTGTCTGTGGTTTGGGGGTGCCCTGCATGCAGAGACGGAGAGCCAATCGTGCTGGCAGGACAAGCAAGCTTACTTGGCTGCAGGTGGGAAGAGAGTATGCGTTCAATAGGAAGCCCCCCACCCCTGGCCATTGCCCAGGCAAGGGGACAGAACTTACCCTCCTTGCTTCCCACAGCAGCAAATTTGATTTCATAGCTGCAGAAGATGTCAGTTTCCAGAACTTATACAGAACCCTGCTTCTTAGGACTTAAAGCCGATCCCATTTTACTTAAGGCATGAAACGATCTTCTCTAAGAAATAGATATCCATAAAATGAATAAATGAACGAAGTGAAACTCACAAAACACATCTCCTCGAAGGCTTTGTCCCTGCTCCACGTGGTTTTCCAGGGCTTTCTCATCTCGTCTCTCCTCCTCCAGGCCCTCTTTCTTTCCCTCTTCATTCCTCTTTCTTTCTCCACTAGGGTCCCCTTCTCTGGAAACGCTCTCTTCAGAGCTGAAGGGCTGCAAGTTAACCTTAGGGGCGGGAGTGCCCACAGGTTCTGTGATAATGTTTTTAATTTTTACCTTCTTTTTCATGCTATTTTTGTGAGCAAGCAACTTCTTGATTCTGTCTTTGATGGTACCTGGTGCTCTGAGGAATTCCTTCACAGAATTTTCAGGGATAACTAAAATAAACAATAAAAGAAAAGTTCCACATTGGCCAATAATTAGATCACTCATGAGAAATGGAGCATTTAAACAGTGTTCAAGTGCAGTAAATGAATGCTTCTAGAATCAACCCATTAAGGCCCTACCATTTGATATTTTAGGAAGAACTATCTTTGCACTGGTTTTAAGAAGCTCCAATGTCACAGTAGGATCTTAACTACCTTAATCATTAGAGGATACACTTTCGTTTTGCTTCAGAGACTACGATAATGAAATACTTGCTCCTGCCAAGCTGGGCTACAGATTCCCATGTGATGGATATTCCTGCTTTCATATTAATATTCACCAAAGCTGGCACTGTCCAAGTAGCCTGTAATTTGTTTAAAATTGATGTTCAAAGATTACAGGTAGCATTATGTTGGATGATATAAATTGTTAATAATGGGCCATTTGTAACTTGCAAAAATGGTGATTTATGGTTCAATGTATACACACCTAATTTTCCTTCCTCGTTCTCTCACTCTTTTCAATTTCTTCACTGCAATCAACTACTTTCTAAAGCAAAATGATTTTACTTATTGACTATAGAGAGGCATCTATATTTACTTTTTACATTCATTTCCTATTTCTCGTCACTAAATTACATTGTTTTTAAAAATGCACCTCTAGTGGGGAGGGATATAGCTCAGTAGTAGAGCACATGCTTAGTACCCATGAGGTCCTGGGTTCAAGCTCAAGTACCGCCTCCAAAAATAAACAAATCTGATTAGCTGCCTCCCCTTCTCGCCACCTCCCCCCTCCAAAAAAACAAAACAAAACAAAAAAGCACCTCTAGGTTAATTCCTCATATCTGCCCCCTACCCAATCATGGATCAATGGCCCTTGGGGGAAATAGTGTAGAAGAACTTGAGAGGTAGAAAAAAGGTCTTTTAGCCCCACATCTTTGTTTTGTAGATGAGGCAACTGAGTATGTGTGATGTTCTGTGACTTACCCAAAGTCACTCAGCTACCCTGGGGCAGAGCTAGACTTGAGGGTAAAGCAGATGAATGACTCTTTTTCCGGTCCTATTTCCATGATAGGTTTATTCCTTCTTTAGGATTAAGGGTTACTTTTCTCTAGATGGCTTCAAATTCCTTGAGATCAAGAGTCCAGAGATACATGCCCCCTTTCCAGGCACCTACCCGTGATAATTAAGAATATCCAACTATATACTACTATACATAGATAAACAAGGACCTACTGTATATCATAGGGAACACTATTCAATATCTTGTAATAACCTATAATGGAATCTGAAAAAGAATATATGTACATAGAACTACTGAATCACTTTGCTGTGCACCTGAAGCTAAAAACAACACTGTAAATCAACTATATTTCAACTTAAAAAAAAACTACCCATGATGTAAAAGAGTAATTTAAAAAGATTAAAAACTTTGATTTTTAAAATAAAATATACTGTCCTTTTATAAAATACCTAGGCATGTGCAAGTCTAAGACTAAGCAAAAAGGGTCTAATACCACCTAAACCAACTCACTCAATTCTACCACTTGGATATATTTAGAGGGAAATGAAATAAGGGAGTAGACATCAATTTTGGTGTCTAAAAAGAATATTATAAAAAGAAACTGGATTGGGATTTTATTAGAATTTTTTTGGGGGGGCAATGTTTTATTCTCTTCTCCTGCTCAGTTCCGTCTCCATCATTTGGCTGATTCAATCTGTCCCAAAGTGGTAGAAAAATAACCAAGGAGGAGCCCACAACATTTTGAATAATCAAAAGGAGCAAGAAAAATGTTTTGAAAATATATATACTCTTAATTAATACATCGCTTTTACTTTGAAATCAGTCTAAGGCTATTATGACAAGAGGTATATTTCTCTTTTCAACGAAATGTCCCAAGTTATTTATCAATGTGACAGCCTGTGGTTATAAGTTCAAAGCCAACTACTACTAATACAAACAGTCCATCATTACTCAGTTTCCTGACCTTCTGATGTCCGGTTTCAGCTTCTCTGCCAGAGGCTGCATGACAAGCTCTGATTGTAATGTGCATATACAGACCTTCCTCTGCACGCTTCCCTGTGTAATTCGGTCGATGGGTCCCTGATTCTTTTCCCAGGACCCAGCAGGAAAAATTAACAGGAAACACCCATTCCCAGGAAATTTCCTCTATATAATCAGTAACATAACACTAAAGACCTTTAATAAATAATGAGGAGAGGGTTTTAACCTATACCAGGCAAACCTAAACATCTGCCTTAGTTTCTATCTTGAAGTTTGATTTTTCAAACCATCACAGCCTTTGCAGTGCCAACGATTTCAGTCCTTCGGTATGCGGGGAGAGCTGGGGCAGGTGTGAAACGAACTATGCACATACATGACTGTGAACAGATAGATCTGGCCATACCTAGGTGTTGCTCTTTCAAATCTGACGTAGCTGATGACTGTTTTGAAAATTTCTTGATTACTGCATCATCTTCTTGAGACTATAAAAACATGGCAGGAAGTTACAGGAGGAGGGTCTGATACATTTGGGGATCTCAGACATAAAAAGAGGCAATTCTAGGGTTTTGAGATTCACAGGCCAGTCTTCTGTAAATGAGATTGACAATTTCTCTTGAGAGGTGAGATTTCTTTCAATATCCACTTGGTGAAAAACTTCTGCCTACCGGAAAATCCTGACTTTACTTAGAGAAGATCACTATGGGGTGAGAACATCTCTCCCAGAAGGAACATGACTTTGACATTCATTTACCTGTGCTGAGAGTTCACCAGATGATCTATCATCTGGCAGGAGAAATGCTCCTCTCATCTGAGCTTTGGACATGGTCCTGGGAGGAGAGACGTGATGATGGATGGATGGAGGGATGTACTGCATCTTGAGGTGCAGAAATCAGGAAGGGACTAGGATGGCAAAAAAGCTGAGCCAGGAGAGTTTGCTGGGGAGGGGTCCAGGAGAGGTTTCCACCCAAAGGATTAGCCA